CTTCTTCATTGACCTCGTGTCCAAAGCTGAAAGCTTTCAATTGTTCCAAAAATCTCTTAAATCTGCAAGTCCACCTAAAGGAGCGTTCACTGCTACGAATCGCACTTTCAATCTTGTAAGTCACAAAGGCCACCTCTCACGCACCAATCGCAGACGCAAAAACAATCAAGCCTACTCCAATGTGGTAATGGATGAAACTTTTTCTGGCCAAGGATGTTGCCCCCCGATGTCAGATTTGTTGGATCGAAGGACACTACGCTGAACGTTGTGACCAGAGGTATTCTCGACGAGACAACTCTGCTCATCTCGTCGAGGCTTTCAATAAATCATTCTCCATATCTGACAATGAGGCCTCAGATTGGTATTTGGACACTGGGGCTTCACCCACATGAGCACCAATCCATCTATTCTGGATCACTCAAGTAACTACACCGATAAGGATTGTGTGATTGTAGGAAATGATGCTTCCCTACCTATAACTCACACTGGTACCATCTCTCCCAATCAAAATCTTCATTTACTTGATGTTTCAGTTGTTCCTCATTTAACAAAAAATCTTTTGTCCATTAGTATATTAACTTCTGATTTTCCTTTGTCTGTTACTTTCACTGACAATTCTTTTACTATTCAGAATCGTCGTACGGGAGAGAGGGTGGCAACCGATAAATGAGATGGTGGATTATATGTGCTGGAGCGTGGAAACCCCACCTTTATTTTTGTTCTTACTAATAATTCATTGCATGCCTCGTATGATTTATGGCATGCTCACCATGGACATGTGAATCATTCCATTATTTCTCTTTTAAATAAAAAAAAGGTCATCTTTATTTTACATCTTTATTGCCTTCTACAACGCTTTGTAACACATGTCAAATTGCAAAAATCATCGTTTGCCTTATTCGCGTAATGAAAAACAATCCTCTAATGTGTTGGATTTAATTCATTGTGACATACGGGGCCCATCCCCATTAAATCCACTTCAGGTTTTGTATACTATGTTGTCTTTGTCGATGATTTTTCTTGTTTCACTTAGCTATACCTATATCTTTTGAAATTTGATTTTTAAAATATTTTTCTTCAATTTCAAAAATTTGTAGAAAATCAGTATTCTGCATGCATAAAAATTTTTCAAAGTGATTTGGCGGAGAATTTACTAGCAATCATTTCTTCGTAACTGTGGCTTCCATCATCAACTATCTTGCCCATACACACCTGCTCAAAGTGGTCGTGCCGAAAGGAAACATCATCATGTGACTGAGACCGGCCTTGCTTTTCTTTTTCACTCTTATCTTTTCCTCGCTTTTGGGTTGACTCCTTCAACACTGCAGTCTACAACATCAATCGCTTGCCCATACCACTTCTTGGAAGTAAGTCCCCTTTTGAACTTCTTTATGGTTCACCTCCGAATTATGAAAATTTTCATCCCTTTGGTTGTCATGTTTATCCTTGTTTACGAGATTTCATGTCTGACAATTTTTTCCCTCGTAGCATGCCATTCATTTTTTTAGGATATAGTCCTTTCTATAAAGGGTTTCATTGCCTCGATCCCACAACCTCTAGACTATACATCACTTGACATGCATAGTTTGATGAACATCACTTTCCTTTTTTAGAAACCTCTCAATCTCCAATTTTCCAATTTTTTGGAGCCCAACTCATCCCATGTAAAAGCATCCCCCCCTGAGCATCATTTTTCTCCTATTACAACATCCAGATCTGACCCCGTGTATTATCTATACTAATACAATGGATGAGTCTGTGCGAGTTACTAACTCTAATGCAGGTTCTACTTCGGTACACTCAACCCCTAGATCATTTCCTGTTGAGTCCAACACTGCCCCTCAAGTTCACGATCTCACTGCAGCTCCAGCTCCAGCTCCAGCTCCAGCATCTCCATTAGGCTCTCACCCTATGATCACAGGAGCCAAGGCTAGTATTTTCAAAGCTCGCCATCCGGCAAACATTGGCATCTTAGGCTCCTTTAGTCTTTTTTGTGCTCTTCTTGCCTCTACTGAGCCTAAAAGTTTCAAATCTGCTACAAAGAATCTTGCCTAGCTTGCTACCATGGATGAAAAAAATGCAAGCCTTACAAAATAACCGTATCTATATTTTGGTTCCTGGGCCCTAACACTAACATTGTTGGCTCCAAATGGGTGTTCAGAATCAAATATTAGTCTGATGGATCTATCGAGCGTTTCAAAGCCCTTCTTGTTGCCAAGGGGTATACATAGGTGCCTAGTCTCGACTACAATGATATCTTTAGTCCTGTTATTGATGCTTCCACTGTTCGCATTGTACTCTCTATTATTATGACTAACAAATGGCCTCTTCACCAAATTGATGTTAAGAATGCGTTTCTAAATGGCACTCTACTGAGCATGTCTATGTAAAGCAGCCTCCAGGATATATTGATCATCGCTTTCCTAATCATGTCTGTCAATTGAAGAAAGCTCTCTTTGGTCTAAAGCAAACACCTCGTGCTTGGTTCCAGTGCTTCAGCTCCTTCCTTATTCAGCTTGGATTTCATTGTAGTCGGGCTGACACTTCACTATTTGTCTTCCAAAAGCAGTCTGATATTATATATTTGCTCATAAATGTTGATGATATTATTATCACTGGCAACAACTCATCTCTCATCGACAAATTCCCTTGCAAACTCAATTTTGAGTTTGCCACTAAGGATTTGGGTCATCTTAGCTACTT